GGATCCCTCATCTAGGACCTCCTTGTCTGGCCCTGGTGAACTTGAGGTTCTAAGGGCTTCCCAACATGCAGAGTAACCCGAAGGAGAATACATTGCCCCAGGAGCTATTCCAAACAAGCCTTGTCCCATAAGTTCTCCCCCCACCACCAGCTCCCCATCCTGGGGGTGGCCTCTGGAGGGCACTGCGGGGACCCTGCCTCTCAAGCCTATAGTCCTTTGAGGATGGCCCCCGACCCACCCCTCAGATGAAGTCCAACTGCCTGTGGGATAACGGGCCCTCTCTGCTACTGTTTGCAAAACAGTTTGTTCTTTCTTAATGCTGTTTGGGGAACAATTCAGTTGGGATTACAGCCAGATTTCCTGTGCGAGTGTGTGGTTGGAGAGCAGGAGGCTATGGAAGCTGGGGAGGGGTGGAGGGTAATGACATCAATTGCACCCAGCCCAAAGACCTTGTTTCCTCTCTTTAAAATTTTAAAAATTAATTTTGAATTATACAGGTCATCCTTGGAGCTACTTTGAGGAAAATTAAAATATAACAAGTCAGGTTAAAGCTCTCTTTAGATTGGGGTATTGCACCATCCCCAATCCCAGTCCCCTTCCTCCACTCCTGAGACATACACACTGGTCATTTTTTGTATTTGTCCTTCCAGACCTTTTACTTTACATTCGTTTCTATATGTAGATCTCTGGGAAATATTCCTCTGCCTTTATTTTTCCATAAATGCTATCACATTATATACACGGTTGGGCAATGTGCTTCTCTCACTCAATAATACACCTAGACAGCAATCTCACTTTTTAACTGTTTTGTAGTATACTTTAACAGAATTATACCTCCATTATGCAAGCATTCCTCCATCAATGGAAATTTTCATTTTTCCATTTTTTTTCAGTAACAAAAACAATGAAATAAAGGCCTCTTTGTACACACACTCAAGTGTTCTCCAGGATGAAGATTGAGAAGTGGGCCACAGATTTTGTGCATTTAAAAATTTTAATAGCTAGATGTTGCCAAACTGTCCTGCAAACTTTGTAAAATTCTCCTGGGCAGAGATTGGAATCACATTACTGGATCAATGTTTATTTCTTTGATGAATAGTGAGACTGAGCACCTTTTTATTTATATTACCTCTTCTGCAAATTTCCTGTATTTGGTTTTATCTATTTTCCTATTGGATTGTCACTTTTTATTGATTTGTAAAAGATATTATATGTTCTGGATAAACACTAATCTGTCAGCTATGTGTGTTACTAATGTTTGTTTTTCCAGCCTGTCACTTTTCATTTCTGTTTTTTTTATAGGGTTTTAATTTTGATGTGGTCAAATTTTACCCATCTTTTCCTTTATGGATTTTTTCCCCCAGACTTGGTTAAGAGGATCTCCCTTTCTACAAGATCATATTTTCTGATATATTCTTAGTACTATGATTTTTCACATAGAGATTGCTAAACCATCTGGAATTTTTGTATATGCACAATGTAAGGTAGGGAGCTACTTTCAATATTTTCCAAATAAATAACCAATTGACCCAATGCCTTTCATTGAATAATCTATCATTTCTCCACTGAATTGAGATACGTTTTTTATCCCACCATAAATGTATATTTTATTCTACCGATCTACAAGTCTATTTATCCATTCCCATGTTAATACTTCATTGTTGCAACTACCCTAACTTTCTAATATGCTTTGATTTCTGGTAAGATAAATTCTCCTTTTTCAAAAGAATCTTCAACATTCTAACACATGTAGTCTGTCTCATGAATTTTTGAATGTCTAATTCCATGAAAACTCCTATTGAGATTTTTATTGATATTGTATTCAATTTATACATAAACTTGGTGACATTGACATCTTGATGATATTAAGTTTTCCCATCCATGTACATTCATTCACTCAACATATATTTATTGAGCACCCATGTGCTGGCACTGTTCTGAGTCCTGGGGATATAGCAATCAACAAATTACTTGCTCTTGTGGAGTTTACTTTTTTGAGTAATGCATTGAGTCTACATTCTTGAGTGTATAATTTTATTTAAGTCTACTTTTATATTCTTTATTGAAATGTTATTGTTTCACCTTCTTGTTAGGTCTGTTCCTAAATAGTTTCTTTTTGAAAAATGTATATAAATTTGATCTTTAAATTTCTCCACAGAACTTGTAAACTCTGTAAGTATTCTTTCCCATAAAAGCATTCAAGGTAACTGTTTTAAAGATAAAAAATTTAGTATGCTTCTTTTCATTTTCTTTTGGAGGTAGATTCCCAAATATGAAAAGCACTGGGCATTTTATACCCACCATTCTAGAAAGGTTTCATTCTCTATATAATAAAAGAAATTAAAAATTTTCAAAGAGTAAATATTCAAGCTTTTGTTAGTTTCAAATACTGCTTCAAAAATTTGTTTAGGGAAGTATTATAAAGGTAAAGACAAGTTGAATTACATGATTACACAAATGTTTGATAGTTATTCTGTTAACTCCCTTTATACTTGTTGTGAGGGGTAGAGGGGTAAACTTTCATGAGACAAAATTCTACAAAAAAAACAAAACAACAACAATACACACACACACACACAGCACTAAACTCAAGGAAGAATAATTCAAGATTCAGATTAGTTAAAATTCAAAGAGTCTGATAAAGCTAATGCCAGTCAGCACGTGAGAAAATAAGTGCAGCAATTGCCCCCATGCCATGGGATGGCAATTTGGCAATGTTAGTCAAAGTCCAAAACGTATATTTGCTCTGACTCAGCAATATTAAATCCAGGAAGGAACTTATCCTTCAGAGGCAGGCTTAGGAAAGCATGAAGACATCTGCACCAGGATGTTCACTTCAGCCTCATTTCCAACTACCAAAAGACGAGAACCAAGCCAAAGAGCCACCACAAAAATATGCCACATTGTGATACATACACATGATGGGTTTTTTTGTTGTTGTTTGGCTTTTTGCTGCCTTTAAAACTGATGAGGGAGGTCAATATGTAACAATATAGAAAGCTATCTCCCCCAACAAATCTACTTAAAAATAATATAAAAATAGTGCTCGCTTCGGCAGCACATATACTAAAATTGGAACGATACAGAGAAGATTAGCATGGCCCCTGCGCAAGGATGACACGCAAATTTGTGAAGCGTTCCATATTTTAAAAAATAATAATAATATAAAAATAGCCCTGACCGGTTTGGCTCAGTGGATAGAGTGTCCGCCTGTGGACTCAAGGGTCCCAGGTTCGATTCTGGTCAGGGGCATGTACCTTGGCTGTGGGCACGTCCCCAGTAGGGGGCGTGCAGGAGGCAGCTGACCAATGTTTCTCGTTCATCGATGTTTCTCTCTATCCTTCTCCCTTCCTCTCTGTAAAAAAATCAATAAAATAAAAATAATATAAAAATAAAGGCAGACATTCTCACTTTTGCCTCAGGGCCCCAGGGGAGAAGGAGAATGCAAAACAGTCACACATGGAACCCCCGGCCGTCCGTAGCCCTGGGGTGTCTTCTGCTCTGGGCCACCTCCAGGCCGGAGCAGCGTGCAGGAACTCTCCCACAGGCAGCCTGCGTGGAGGTTCTGAGTAGGATCTCCCATCTGGTTGTCTTTTCTGGAATCCTGCCATTTCTAGTCTTGCTATGCATGGTGAGTGTTTGCTTCTTTGGTTAGTTTTTCGTGCATCTTTTGTTTCCCTGAGTTTGGTACAGGGGACTCAAGTTTGCAGAATGCGCCTTCTCTCTGTGCTCCCTTCGTCTCCTTCTCTTTCTCCCTCCAGGACCCTGCCCCAACTCTAACACCTGGCCCTGCAACCAGGGACTCAGGAAGCTGACAAATTTTCTTCTCCAGAGAAGAAACTCAACAGCTGCTTGCTGTTCATTCATTTTGCCCCAGGCACCCTGGGATGTAACTTCTAGGTTCTCAAGTCCAGCATGACCCGCCCCCTGAGGAGTCCTTCGCCCGAGGTAGAATCCAGCATGGGTTTTGTGAAAATAGACTTTATTATAATAAAATGTCTTTTTAAACAAATACCCCCACCCCTCCTCACCCCTGGAGACCAAGGTGGGGGTGGGGTTCAGTCAAACAATCTCCCACCACAGCGAAGGAAACATGCAGACACTCACCCCGCAGGCGGGTGGGGATGGATGGTGAGGGAAGGGTGGAGAGCCCCGCCCCCACCCCACTCTGAACTGGGAATGTATGAAAATAGCTGCATAAATCTGTCCTCTTCCCCCAACCAGGCGCTCCGGCAGGGGCCAGAGGAAAACGATGCAAAAGAGAAATTCAATCTGATGAGCAAAATAAGGCAAACCCAACTCCTGCTTTCTGCCTCTGGCCCCCTGGGTCTCTGGGGCTGGGGGCACACAGGGGCCAGAGGCCGGGCTGGCAGGGAGGGGTGGAGCACTCTGGGGGTTAGGCCCGCTTTGGCATGGCCTTTCTCCTTCCCGGGCCTGTGCAATGGATGCGAGATGGAGGAAGCTAGACTGAGGCACTGAGTATGTACATATATACACGGCCTGTGGGGAGGGGCTCGGGACAATCCAGTGCAAACTTTCCTTCAGGGGAGGGAAGACGTGATCAGGAGAGCCAGTGCCATCCAAGGGAACAGGCCCCTTTCTCCCCCAGGGTCCCCTGTCCTAGGAGGGGGAAGGCCAGAGGAGGGACTAGCATCCCGTGGTGAGAAACTAGGCAGAGGTGGGTGTACTAAGAGCCAAGAGTCCCGGGTCCAGGGTCCAGTCCTGGCTCTGTGACCATGGTGAGTTCCCGCCTCTCTGGGCCTGTTTCCCCTCCTATAAGAGGAAGGGGCCCATTCAGAGGATTCATCCTCAAGGACTCATTTAGCTCTGACCTTCCCCGAGTCTCTGATTCCATTCCAATTGCCACAGTGTTAACTCAGAAGAATAGAAGTCCAGGGCCGTCCTCCCACCCCACCCCCAGGACAGGAACCTGGGGGGTGTGGGGGGGGGGAGGGAGGCGCCTCCGGGGACCACTTCCTTCTGCAGGATGAGCCAGAGCATCACACCTTCTTCCCAGAGCCCAGTTTCCTGAGGAGCTGCTTCCCCTTGGAGAAGAGGTCCCGCACCTTCTCGCTTGTGCCCTGTGGCCCCCCCAGTTCAATCCTGGGAAGGCGGCCAGGGCCAGGGGCACAGGGCCCACCTGGAGGCCCCGGGGGCACTTGTGTTGAGCCAGCCCAGTCCTGGAATGTGAGAGAAAAGGGACAAGGTCAGGGCCCAACTCCCTGCCCTAATTTGACTCCTTTACCCTACAGCTTCAGGCGCCCAGAACTCCATGTTGCAGAGCCATGGTCAAGAACCAGAGCCCACCTGGCCGGTGCGCTCAGTAGTTAGAGCATCGGCCCATGCACTGGAGGGTTGCGGGTTCGATTCCCAGTAAAGGTCACGTACCTGGGTTGTAGGTTCGATCCCGGCCCCAATGGGGGCACTGTGGGAGGCAACCAATCTATGTGTCTCTCTCACATCAATGTTTTTTTCTCTCTCTCTCCCCTCTCCTCCCTCCCTTTCACTCTCTAAAACAAACAACAAACACAGAGCCCTGCCACCCTGCCTGTCCCACACACAGAGCACAGAGGGGTGAACGAGCACAGTGATGCTGAGGGAGCACTGAGCTAGGAGTCTGAGGGACAGAGGCAAAGGCAGTTCTGCTCCTGTTCACCTGGGCCCTGGGCAGGCCCCTCCCTGTCTCTGGGTCTCTCTGTGGGGTGCTGAGCTGACAGAGCTCAAGAGTCCTTGGACCTGACCCTCAGGAGGAGTTCCCCAATGTCCCCCTTGTCATCCCCTCGCAATGAAGGGAGAGCAAGGACCAGGACCACCAGAGGCAGCTGTCCCCTCCAGGGGGCAAAGGGGCATGCCCTCCAGCCCAGCAGATGTGCTCCCCGGGCCTTCGTGGAGGGGAGCCAGTGCCACTCCATGGGGAGGAGATCGGAACTCTTCCTTGAATGGCCCTGAGAGAGCAGCTGGGAGCCTGAAACCAGAGACATTTGGGCGTCACTCAGCCCCCAGCACAAAGGAGGCTGCCCTGGCCCCTCCTTTAGCATCTCTCCCTTGCTGAACCTCCTAGCTCCGTGGTCGGCAAACTGCGGCTCGCGAGCCACATGCGGCTCTTTGGCCCCTTGAGTGTGGCTCTTCCTAAGCCTTAGGAGTACCCTAATTAAGTTAATAACAATACACCTACCTATATAGTTTAAGTTTAAACAGTTTGGCTCTCAAAAGAAATTTCAATCATTGTACTGTTGCTATTTGGCTCTGTTGACTAATGCGTTTGCCGACCACTGATCTAGACGAGTCTCAACTGGGCTGACTGGGCACTTCAAGTCTCTGCCACGTATCTGTTCCATGCCAGTAGCTACCTCAGGAATGTCCTCATGGAGATGACAGAAGCACAAGAAAGAGCAAGGCCTCTCGAGTTGTAGACTTAGAAGCACCATACTTGCACTTCTACTTCATTCTATTACCCAAAGCCAGGCACATGGTCAAGTCCAGAGACAGAGGCAGAGGACACTTCAAAGTTAAATGACCAAGGGGGTGGATGCAGAGAGGGTAAAAGATCATTCAACCCATCAGCAAGACCTATCAATGCTACCTTAGAAATACTTTCCACACCTGTCCAATACTCCTTCTATCTTCTTGCTACCACCACTTCAGTTCACCATGATCTCTCTTACCTGTCACCACCTGACTGCTCTGTCCAAATCTTTCCTGTCCATTCCTTCTCGGACCATTCTCAATGCAGCAACGAGAATAAACTTAAAAAGAAAACCTGCTCTCACCACTCATTTAATTAAGTCTGCCAAATGGTTTCCTATTGTTCTCAGGATAAAGGTGAAAATCCTGACTAAGGCCTGAATTGCTTTCAATTTTCAATTGAGGGGTTATTTTAAAGCAAATAGGTGAACCTGGTGAAAGGGAGAAAGGGAGTGAAGAGGGAGTGTGGGAAAGAGAGGCTTTGTAATGACTTGCATGTGAGGACAGCCTGGGACCCCTTTCTCCCACTTCATCTTCCAGACTTTCTTTCACTTTATGGTTGGAACACATCATAATTCTCCAAGTTGTACACTATTTCAAGCCTCTGGGGTCTTACTTGGACTGCTCTGTGTCCAAGTGGAGTTCTTTATCCCTCCTTTTGGTACTGATTCAAACCCTCTGCCTTTCTCCTCTCCTTCTTCTAGGGAAAAAGAAGAGAGGAGAGGAGCGCAGATTGGTTTGGCTGAGTGGATAGAGCGTCGGCCTGCGGATTGAAGGGCCTGAGGTTTGATTCCAGTCAAGGACGAGAAAGAGAGAGAGAGAGAGAGAGAGAGAGAGAGAGAGAGAGAGAGAGAAAAGAGGCTGAGGGGGAGGAGAGGCCAAGGCGATGTAGCGGGGCCTGCCCACCAAGAGGTCTGCTAGCACCTAGAGGTTATGGCATCTACTGCCAACCAGTCAGGGCTGATGGCTGGCCAGGAGGGAATGGTTGCTGGGGAAATAGAGGCGGTCTCTAAGTGCCCCCCCAGAGGAGGGGTGTGGTTCATCTATGGACTCCACTGTTTAAGCCCCCACCCTTTTGTATTCCCCTCAGCAGTGGAAATTGAGAGTTGGAAGTAAGATCATGCATCTGATCCCCTAACAGGTCATGACGATGAGGATAAGGGTGGGAGACTATTATTACTGGTGGCTTTACCGTGTCATCCTTCTGTCACCAATAATAATCGTAATATTATAATACCATTGCATACAGTATCATAATACCCTGATGAGTCATAATGTGGACGTCATGTAATATTCTATAAGCCGTATGTTATAGAATATCTGAGGAGTCCGCTGATATGGGACATCATATACTAAGATGACGTGTTTCTACGACAGCTGGCACTGGCCAAAGGCAAGGGGAGGGAATGAGCCTATGACCTCATAGCAAGATCTCCCTCTCTTATTCCCTGGAGGAAAGTGGAAAAGCCAGGTCAGCTCGGGCATGCGAGACCAAGGAGTGCTGTCTGGTTATGGTGATGAGTGGGGGTCACACGGACACAGGGGCCAGTCCCCCACTTACATGTTGCTTTCTCTACATATATCTATCTCCATCTAGCACTGGACTCTTCTCTTCCTCGTTCTCTGAAGAACAGGGAACAAAGAGAGGAGATGGGTTACGGACAGACCCACGGGTTCGCCCGGTCACCAGGTCGCCAGGTCACAGGGGCCGGACCTGCTTTGCGCTGCCTCTGACCACCTGGGGTTTTCTGGTCCGGGCCTGGCCTCCTTACCCTCTCCCTGCCCTGTGAGGCTGGAGCTTAGCTGTACGCCACCCACCCCGGGAAGAGGCACGCTCTAAGAGTGAGAACCCAGGAAGCTGCCCGGCTGGGCAACTGGCTTTGAAAGGCTCTGGGGAGACAGGGAGACCCAGCAGGTAGGAGATTCCTGAAACCAGGCTAGAGGTGTGGAGGCACAGGGGTTCTTTTCCACAGGGCCCCTCACCTGCGTCAGCCCTGGGTGTGGGCAGCTGGGCTGGGGATCACCCCTCTGCTGAAGGGGCACCTCCTGGAGGGAGCTGGCCCTGGCTGGGCTCCTCTGACAGAACTCAGCAGCTCCAGCCGGGGCACAGTGCTCATTGGTCGTCACCCTCTGCACCCCTCCCTCCACTCTGCCCTGGCCCCACCCCCACACCAGCTCCTCACTGACCTGACTCTCAGCCGGGGGTGTCCCAGGCTCCCTGTGGGAGCTGCCCGCCTCAGGCCCAGGGCCCTCCAAGAAATTGGACGGAACCAGGCCCCTCTGTCCATTTAGTTCCCCCTGGGGAGGAGATACTGGTGAGACTGAGATTAGGAAACAGGCCTCAGCCCCACCCCCTTGACCTGGAAGCCGCCTGAACAGCCTGGGGTCAACATCTCTGTCACGGGAGGTGGCTTGTCCATTCCCCCAGGCGTCCGTCGTGGGGAAGCCTTGCTCATCCCCTCCCCAGCTCTGGGAGAGCCCCCTCCCCAGCGCTCTCACATAGTAGAAGCCATCATCGTCCATGCCCCCGAACACAGTAATGATGTCCCCTGCTCGGAAGGGCAGCTCTGCCTGTGGAGAGACCGAGAGACGGGGGTCAGGCCCAGGGAGGCCCTGCCACCCGCCCCCCACGTTGGCTGACCTCGATCTGAGGGTCCTCACCTCCACATCCATGTTGGGGGAGCTCTCCCGAGGGTTGTAGTCAAACGCAGCCACCATGCAGCGGGGGGCTCTCAGGCTGGCAGAGGAGACCGGCTCGGGGGGGCCTGCCAGGGGAGAGGAGAAGACTCGGGACTCTCTCTAGACTCCCCACCCCACCACCTCTGCACTGGAGGTCTGCTGACCCCCTCGGCACCAACTCATTGTAGCCTCTGAGCCGAGACCAGAGGGACCGCCCGCCCCAGCCCTTTCCCCGGCCTCCCCTACGCAGGATGGCCCCTCACCTGCACCGTGCTGCGCAGGACCTTCTGACTCAGCTGCAGAGAGAACGTGTGTGTGTGAGAGCCCCGCCCCTCACATCCCTGCTCATCCCAAGCAGGGGATGGGGCAGGGCGGGCGGGATGCGCAGCCTCACCTCAGGGATGCGGGAGAAGGATGCTCAGAGAGCCCATGAGCCCAGCCCTTTGGTGTGGGGCATGAGCTAAGGCCCAGGGAGGGTGAGTGATTTCCTCCAGGTTGCACAGTTTACAGCCAGAGGCTTTTTGGAACAGAGGGCCCGGCAAGCCACTCCGGTCCCCTTTAGAATGAACTAACCTCCTCGAGAAGGGTGGATGGTGTGAAGGTCTGCCCTGATCCCCTTTACCTCCTCAAAACCCCACGTGTGTGTCCCCAGAGAGCCAAGCAGTGACCCCCATCCCCACTCATCCTCACGGACCCCAAAGGAGAGGGGGTCTCACCCACCTTTCTTGGAGCGGCGGGGCTTGGGGGGAGGCCCAGTTGTTCGAGCTGTAGAGGACAGGAAGGCAAGTGAATGTAAGAGAGAAACCGAGGCAGGGGATCGGACAGTGACTCTGGAGTCTCCACTTGGGGCCACACCAGGGTCCCTGTGCACACGTTTCTAAAGAGCATTCCTGCCCTAGCTGGCTTCGTGGATAGAGCGTCAGCCTGTGGACTGAAGAGTCCCAGGTTCGATTCCCGTCAAGAGCACATGCCCGGGTTGCGGGCTTGATCCCCAGTGGGAGGTGTGCAGGTGGCAGCCGATCAATGATTCTCTACCATCATTGATGTTTCTATCTCTCTTTCCCCTCTGAAACCAATAAAAAAAAAATTTTTTTAAAGAGCATTCCTCTCCCATCCCTAACCTCCAGGATCCCAAATACAAAGCCCATCCCCTCTGCAGCAGACCCTGCTCCCTGTGTCAACTCGCTGCTGTGGCCACACTGGCCTCAGTCTCTGTGAGGCCCCCGTGGCTGTGCGAGACTCTTGAAAAATGAGGCTTCCCACCTCTCCAGACACACAAATGCTCCATACTCCAGACATACAGAGCTTGGGGGGCGGGGGGATTGGAACTGGGGTGGGGGCCTTGGCTGAGGCACAGCGGCAGGTCATACCTGAGCCCTCAACGAGAACCCGCGGGGACAAATAACCCTGCTGAAACAGCTGCTGTCTCCCTGCAGGAGTGTCCACAGCCACCTCAGCCACCATGTTGCAGGGGATGTAGCCCCTCCGGCCTCCACCTTCACCCCGGTAGAAGCCATCAGCGTCCTTGTCCCCAAACACCTGGAGGCAAAGACCAGCTGTGTCAGGAGGCCAGTTGAGCTTGCTCCCTGTGCCCAAGGCCCCAGCCCCGCAGCACTACACTTGGAATTACAGAACGCTCTGCCTTTTGTGGCTGTGGAACACGAAATAGGGGGAAAGGGCCAAGAATAAGGATCGAAAGAAAATAGCCTTTTCTGTATTATCGTCACCCACTACCTGCACGTCCATTCCCCTGGCCCTACCTCAAACCAGATCTCCCCAACCTCAGAGCAAGAGCAAAAGCCTTCAATAAATACTTGGAAGCATAATAAAAGTTGTGATGCTGCCCAGCTGATGTGGCTCAGTGGTGGAGCATCAACCTATGAACCAGGAGGTCATGGTTCAATTCCCAGTCAGGGCACAGGCCTGGGTTTCGGCTCTATCCCCAGTGTGGGGGGCATGGGGGTGCAGGAGGCAGCCGATCCTTGATTCTCTTCATCACTGATGTTTCTCCCTCTCTCTGCCCCTTCCTGAAATCAATATATATATATATATATACACATATATGTATGTATATGTATGTATATATATATATGTTGTGATGTTAACAGCAGTAGTTATATTGGGCTATGTGCCAGGCAGTTTAAGGACTCTGTGTGAATTGAATCATTTAAACCTCAGAAGAGCCCTGTGAGGTAGACATTAACATTATCCCCATTTTACCAATGAGGAAAGAGGCCCAGAAGAGTTCATCTATTCAAGGTTACACAGCCAGAAGTGACAGCCCCACTGCACGTGGCTCTAAAAGCTGTGTGCTGGCCCACGCATGGGTTCTATCTCCACACAGGAGAGGAGGGAGGGGGGAGGACCCCGACAGTGAGTCACCTTCAGGATCTGGCCTTCCCGGAAGGGGAGCTCCTCTTCCCCAGCATCAGGGTTGGGTGACATTGACACAGGGTCGTAGTCAAACAGAGCCACAAAGACCCTGACAGGTAGGTCCTGGTGAGCCAGCACTTCTTCCGGGCGGCTCCTCGGAGGGGCTGTGGCAAGTTGGGGAGAGAGAGCCATGATAATGAGCTCTGGCCAAGAGGCTAGGAGAGGCCCCCTCCACCCAGCCCAGCCCCCACAGGTGCTCACCCAGCTCAGTGGCGTCTGGCCTGGGGACTCGGGCCCCTCTCCGAAGGGGGCCCCTCTGCCCAGACCCGTCCTGCCCTCTGGGCTCTCCGATCTCCGTTGCCTGCAAAGAGGGGGCAACAGAGGGCAGAAATGTCACACCATCCCTCTGGCGGGCACCTCAACAGGGGCAGGACCCCGCACGTGCTCCCCAGCTCTGCCCTGTCAGCAAAAGCAGCACAGCAGAGCAGGGACACAACATTCCTCTCCTGCAGTCTCGGTCCAGCCTCAGTGGAGACTTCAGACACCCCCTGGGGGGAGGAAGGGCCGGTGGAGAGCCCCAGCTCCAGCCACCCTGGTAGCTGTGTGCAGTGGAGGGGACTAAGGTGAGAACTTAGAGTTGACCCAGGAGAAATTGAGAGGAGGGCCTCTCCTCAGCGTCAGGGTTGGTGACGCTGGACATCACAGTCAGTGTCCTAAGCAGAGGAAAGGGCCACCCTGCCCAAAGGCCGGGGGCTGGCTGGCGGCAATTGGTGACTAAATAACAACAGAATATGGTGCATCCCAGTTCCGATCAGCAGAAGCAGCAAAGCAGTGGAATGTGGGTGGGAAGAGACAGATGAGGGAGCCCAGAGGCCCAGCCCCACCTCTGCTGATGAAGGCGGCAGCGTGGAATGGGAGTGGCTGGTGGGCAGCAAGCAGAGCCACCAGGCGGCAGCAGGCAGGGGGCTGCCGGGGGTGGGGAGTGGGCACGGACCCGGGAGGCTGGCTCCTTGGCTCTGCCAGTCGCACTGCAGCCTCTCCGCTCTGGCTCCCCTCTCTCCCAGGCCGGGAGGCGTGGGTAGGGGCTGGGGCCTGAATTGGCCTTCAGAGCTCCCCTGGACCTTCCTATGGGCGCTGTGCCCCAGGCCTCCCCGTCTCTGAAGTGGCAGGAGCTGGTGATGCTGACACCCCCGCCGCCTGCCTCCTGCTCATCCTCAGAATCATATTCGATGCTGATTTCCAAGCACTTGGGGGAGAGGCAGCTAGTCAGGATAGATTCTGGCGTCCGGCCATGAGGGTACCTCTGGGAAGGGGCTGGCCGCCCTCTCCCACCAGCCTCCGGTCCACCCCTGGCGCCCTCGCCCACAGGTGGGCCACCCCTCTCCCGTGTGGGGCCGGGTCGTCCAGCAGCCTGGGTCCCGCCGTTGCTGAGAAGGCGGCTGCAGTGTTCACGGGGATCTGGGGACCGCTTGCGGTTTGGGGGCTTCTCGGTAGAGCCACTTCCTCGCCCCCAGCTGCTTCCACCAGCTAGTCCTGCCATGTCCTCCAGGTGGTCCCCGGCACTGCAGGGCTCAGGAGACAAGGGACATGGTCCAGGTCTTTGAGGACGACTGTCACCGCCCAGCTCCAGCAATGCAGGCTCCTGCGGGCTGCGGTCCCGGGAAGAAGAGCCTGCCCCAGGCTGCTGCTGCTGCTCCTCCTCCTCCTCCTCCTCCTCCTCCTCCTCCTCCTCCTCCTCCGGGATGCTAAAAAGCTTCTTGCTGCAGAACTGCTGGAGGGGCAGCTCCAGGATCTGCTCCAAGATCTCCTCGTCACTGTCAGTCTCAGAGAAGGGCTCAGGCTGGGGCTGGGGCTGGGGCTGGGGCTGGGGGATGGGGGATGGGGAGGGTGAAATGGGGGAGGAGGGCAGCAGGGAAGAGAGGTCCATGGGAAAAAAGAAAGAGCTGTGACCTTTGCCCTCAGATGAGAGCAGGGGTTACAGGTAACCTCACAGCCCTCCCTTAGCTTCCTCCAAGAGGAAGGACCAGAGCGGGAGAGGGGGGTGGCCCAAAGTCACAGAGCCAGAGATAGAATGAGGGAACACACCCAGGATATGGCTGCCCAGATGCTCAGGGCCCTGAGTGACAGGAGCAGGCCGCGCCTGTAATAGCAGAGAGGACTCCCCACTCCTTCCCCAGTAGCTCCCAGCACAGGCATCTCAGATGGCCAGGGTGCTGCATCTGGTGGGCTGAAGCCAGAGGAGTTGCCGCAAAGAGCTCCTCATCCTCCCCTTTCTTCCCAGGAGGGCAGAGGTCAATCCTGAGCCACTTCCTATCTGGGGCTCAGGACAGGGCCCAGGCCACACACCTAGAATGTTGCTGGCACTCACTGGTGGCTGGAGCAGCTGCTGACACATGGGGTAGAGACCCCTGGAACCCCGGGTCTAGGGCCCACCAGCCCCTCCTCACCCCATTACCTTGGGCCCATTCTCCCTGACACTGATGCCAGCAACCTGCTTCTGGAAAGAGCAGGCCCTGGAACCCAGCGCCTCTTCCTCCTCTTCTTCCTCCTCCTCTTGGATGTCTGACAGATCTGAGTTTCGACCATGGTCCCCAAGGGAGTTCACCAGACGCACCCCGAGCTCTGCCATGTCCTCCTTCTGCAAGAGGTGAGACAAAGGAGGGGGGTGGGGAAGGGCAGAGAAGGACTCGGGGTGGGGGCACCCTGGCAGGGTCAGCCCCAGCCAGAATGAAAGGAACCCCTTGGCAGAGGGAGAGGGTCGTGTCCCAAATGGGGGTATACACAACGAGGGGGTGGAGGAGAAATCTGGGAAGATACAGTGGCAAAGAAATAGACAGATACGCAGCACAGACCAGAGCACAGAACCAGCAGAGGGGGCCAAGCTTTGGCTGACAGGAGGCAAGGAGGCAGGCCCGATTCTTTGAGGCGGCACAGTACGTCCCTAACCCCATACCTCAGCCCTGGGCCTCAGCCCAGCCCCTGTGTCTCCTCCAAGGCTGGCCTCAGCACAGGGCACCTTCGGGACCGGTGCCCCCTCCGTGGAGCAGGGTGCCAGGCAGGCCTCTCCCGCGGTCCCCTCAGCCTCGTCCCGGGCCAGTGAGGAAGCTGCAGGGCCAGGAGCTCTCTCCCCCACGGCTGGCTCTCTGGCCCTCCTGTCATCTGAGGTGCCCAGCACAGCTGCCCCGGCCTCCTCCTGGAATGGAAGGCACGGAGGATGGGCCCAAGCCCCGGCCCTTCTCCCAGCCTCCACCTGCGCCCCGCTGCCCAGTAGGGTACCTGGGAGCAAGGTGCTGTGGGCTCCTCTTGGGATCCTCTTGTCTCTCCGGGAGGGCTTGCTGCGGGAACTCCATGGGGCTCTCTAGTTCCATGGGGCTCGGGGTATCGGAGGGGAGAGCTGGGGTCTCCGGGAGCTGGAGAGGCTGGAGCAAGGGGCGGCCTGGCCTCCGAGCCTGGCCGTGGTGAGGGGCAGGAGACCCTGGCCGGCAGGCAGGCCGCAGCCAGGGCCGGGCCCACGGGAGCTGGAAGGGAGTCGGCCGACTCGCCATGGGGCGACATGGTGCGCACGGCCACCTCACTGCACACCTGCAGCAGCTGCAGCTGGGACAACTCCACCAGCACGCTGCCCGCTGTGGGCGAGGTCACCTCCATGATCTGCAGGGCGGAGGGAGCACAGGACGGGAAAGGGAAGCTGGGATGACCAAGTGTGAGGACACAACGACCACCGTGACTCGCACTGGCCAGGCGCCGTGCTGAGCCCTTGCCCTGCCTGCCTCATTTAATCCGCCTGCCGCAGGGCTTCAGTGCTAGGATGGTTTTTTGAACCCCAGTTACCGAAGCCCATGCTCTTAACTAATCTGCTACCTAGCGCCCAAATGCCAGGGGCTGGGCATCACTGTGCCAGGCTGGGGAGACTGGGCCTCAGAGCATGGCAAGGAGAGACCCACATCCGGCTCCTAGGGTACAGATGGACAGAGTCGCCAGGCCGTACCTTCTGCCCATCGGCATAAATGGCATAGCCTGTGACGCGGACGCCATTGGAGGTCCCAGCAGCATCTATGGTCACGGGGAGCCAGCTGATGATCAAGATTCCAGAAGAGGGCCCCGGCTCAATCTGCACATCCAGGGGGGCATCGGGTGGGCCTGGGGGGAAGGGACACAAGACCCAGTAATGCAGGACACTCACCCCTGAAGATACCGCCCACTTTGCCACTTCCCTGGAAATGCTAATAACAGCAGTCTCTCCTTCCACTACCCCCCAGGGCCTGGCCTGCTGGGTGTTACAGACAGTCAATGCCCAAGCCTGCAGACCTGCTGGGAGTGTCGTGAACTGCAGGGTGGCAGTCCGCTGCTCCGGCCTCTCCCAGCCTGGTTCCCAGGATCCTCCAGGTAGGAGCTGAGCCTCCACGCGGGCCTGATAGAGTGTGCCAGGCCGCAGGTTGCAGAAGGTGGCCCAGTAGGTGCTGGGGCGGGCAGGGGGGCATTCTTCCCCGTTGAGGTAGATGGCATGAGCCAAGTTGCTATTGCCGGGCACCCAGGTGATCTCAGCAGAAGTGGCTGTCAGTCGATGGACGCGTAGCTGGCTAGGTACCACCCCGGCCCTGGCACCCATGGCCAAGCAACAGCGCAGAGGGTCAGAGCTGCCCCGGCTGGTCAGGGCCTGCACGGAAACACGGAGCGGCCCGGCCCGCAGGTCCAGGTTTTCAAGCACAGCCTTGGGGGGCGCCCCAGGTCCCAGGGCCTGACGCAGCTCCCCATTCACGCAGATCTGGTAGCCATGCAGCTCCACTCGCTCAGGAGGCGGCTCCCAGGCCAGCACCACGCTGTGGGCCAGCTGCTTGAGGACAGCCAGATGGCGGGGGTAAGGCACAGCATGGGGCTCGCCCAGGCCTTCGGGTGAGGGGCTCAGACTGAGCTCATCCCCTGCAGTCTCCTCCTCTGATCTGGGCTGGCTGCGTCCCCCGACACTCTGGCCCCCGCTACTGCTGCCACCTCCACCACCGCTCAGGAAACTAAGTTCAGGGCCTGAACTGTGGGACAAATCGGCCAGCTCCGAAGGGAGGGAGGTCAGGAGGTCGTCATCGGACACGCGCTCTACAAAATTGGAAGGAACCAGGCCCCTTCGGCCATCCATGAGCTCCCCTGGCGACGGGAGGGCAGGGAAGGGAAAGGCAGAGAGGAGGTAGAGAAAAACCAGTCCAGTGAGTGCATTTTAGCAATGGTCAGCGGGTGATCTTAAACATTTGATTCAAATCAAGGTTTGCCTGTCAGTACTTTTAAAAGACAAGGGCAGTCAAGACCTAGATTAGGGAGTTACTGTTCGTTTTCGTAAGTGTGATCACAGTATTGTGGCTATACAGCACAGGGCTCCTTATTTTTAATGTGCGCGTGAATCACCGGGAGGCTTGTTGAAATGCAGATTCTAATTCTGTTAGGTCTGGGTGAAGCTGAGATGGTGCGTTTCTATCTAGTCCGGAGGTGATACTGATGCTACAAGGATGTAGGCGGATGTCCGTGCTCTGAGGAGGTGCGTGTTGAAGTATGTTCCAGATGGGATTAAAAGCAGGCCCGGGGCCGGGAGCATGACTGGCGGTCAGTCTAGGCAGCGACCAAAGGTCAGTTCTGTTACCTGTGCCAGCTCCCCTGAACACTTGACCACCAAGTATTGGAACATGTGCTGTTGTTTATTTGAGGGACGTCAAGGAAGGAAGAAATTGGGCACACAGCATGTCATGTCAAGCTAACTTGAGAGAAGGAGAAATCCCCAGGCCCTGTTACCCAGGCTCGGTAATGGGACATCTGCCTCAGTTGCCTGGTCTCCCCCTGGAGAACTGCTCTGAAGCCCACCCCCTGCCTGGGCCCTGACACCTGCTAACTACCTGCTAACACCCTTTCCTGGGCTCTGGACCCCAATTCCTCCTCCCTACACCCAGCTGGAGTCCAGCATCAGATCTGTGCTACCTGCCTGACCTCGATGTCGCTGGTGTTAAACACTGCCATACTCAGTCTGCCAGCACAAAAGTGAATTTAGTCAAAATCCCGTGTCACTGTCTATCATCTGCACTGTGCGAGGCCTTGTCCTGACCCGCAGTCAGGCCAGCTGCCCCCTTTCCCAATACCCTTCCATTCCGGTTCCCCACAGGCTGCCAGGTCTCTGTTGCCTTGTAGGTGAGTCTGAAAAGTTACGGTGGGCGAGCCGAGCATGCTGGGGAGAGGGTATGGATGGGTGGAGGTCTTTGGGAAGAAGAGCTTAAAAGCAGAGGAATGGACAGAATGACCCCACCACCTTCCTACCTTCAAAAAAGCCATCCTCATCCATGTTGCCATAGATGTAGATATACTCGCCAGCAGTAAGTGGAAGTTCTGCCTCTGGATTCTCATTAGGGCCCTCGAAGGGGTTGTAGCTGTTGGAAGAGGCGAGGAGGAGGGGAGGGGGGAGGACTGTGACCTACATCCTACCTCCATGTCTCATTTCCTCTCCCCAGTGCCCCAGGCCTTTATGGAGACTTGGTTGCCCACCTTTAGCCAAAGAGAATGCTCACTGCACCCACCTTGGCCCAACTAGGTTAAGAGGACACGTTCAACTGGGATCCCTGTACCAACCCCATCTTCCCCAGATGCCTCTGTCTTCTCCAGGCCCCTTCCTCCCACCCACCCCACATGCTGGGGGGATAGGGAGCAGGGTGAGAGGCCCACCTATAGCGTGCTAGGAAGACCTGGATCCTGGCTCCTCCCCGGCTGCCCTCTGGCGCTGCTGGGAGCAGGGAGACGGTGTCTGCCTCCAGCTCCTCCACCTCACTAGCTGTGTCCACCTGGGGGAAAGCAGAAAGGGCCAGTCCTCTCCATGACCCAGGGCCAATGGCCAAGCAAGCAGGTTTCCAGGCTGAGCCAGAGGAGGACCCTCTGCGAAGGGAAAATGAGTACAAGGCCCATAGCAATGAGCCCCGCTGTTTTCTAAATCCACTCCTGAGCCAACAGATCCCAGCAAAGCCCAGCTGCTGCAGAGAGAGGGAGTGGGGACAACCTGGGTCCCTCCTGGAGCCCTGACTTCTTCTGCACCAGCCCAGGAAACGACCACTTTCCCCATCGGAGAGGGGGCCGGCCACACTGGTACGGGTGGGTGTCCAATGGTAGTTGTCTCCTTAAGGTAAAAACACAGCAAAGCACTCGAACTATAAACAGGTGAAGGCAAGGAGGCAGAAGGACAAAGAAGTCCCTTTGTCCCTTTGTGAGAAGTGCACTGAGCACTGGGCATCCAAATCCAGCACCACCACTCTGTCCCACAAGGGGGCAGTAGAGGGCTGGGGCTGGGTTCTACCACTTCCCACAACCTGGGGCAGCAGGGCTGCTCCAGCCCGCCCTCCACTCTCTGGAGTTTGGGAGGTAGGAGGTGATTGGAAGAGTTGGGAGTGATGCCCAAGAACTCGGTGATGATAAGAGCTCCCACATTGAAGTATTTGGTGTGTGCTCTGCACTGAGGGAGGCACTTTCCTTATATTTTTTTCATTTAATCCTCACAACAAACTTACAAGGCGGTTTTATTAGCTCCAAAATCCAAACAAGGAAACCAAATCCCAGAAAGGGTCTTGCTAAGACAACACTGGGATCGGAATCCCGGAATCTGTGCTCTTTCTCACACGCCCATCACTTCTGCTGCAGCCACTCTCATGAACAGTCTCATTATGTGGATCCTGGCGCCATGGTATCTCCCTCCAGCCAACCCAGGACTTCTCTAGGGCTTCCCTGAGCCCCAGAGGGGTGGGGCTGGGTGGCTCCAAGGTAGGGCCTTCAGGGTGGCCCTGGAGACCAAGATGGCTCCTCCTTGAGTTCCCTGCGGACCAGGAGGAATCTACGGGCCCTTCTCTCCCAGGGCCTGGCTCCACTTCCCAACGTGGGACCCCCCTCATAGGCCAGAGGTCACCCAACTCCTGGGGACCCCACAGAGGTCAGGGCCACCTCCCCTCCCACTTTGCCGAGGCAGAGCCAGAACCCAGGCCCCTCCCCAGCACTGACCTCAGGCGTAGGGCATGACTTTGGGCTGTTGTGGATGGACTCAGAGTGAGAGGAGTTGGAGAGAGACTCTGCCTTCTTGGCTGTCCTTCGAGGAACCCCGGGAAGGGTGGCAGGGGCAGGCTCAGAAGACTTTGGGGTGCAGCGTCCTGGGGAGCCCGGCAGGAGGTCAGAGTCTAAAGAAAAGATGGCACATGGGTGGGTGTGGGGTCTGTGGCCTGAAGAGGGACCAGGGACCAAAGTCCAGCTGCTTGGATTATGGGGGTCAGGCCTGCCATAGCTGGGTTTCCTTAAAGAAGGGAAATATTTGGGAAAACTTAGTGAGTAGAGGTAGAGGAACTTTACATATATTATTTCACATGATCCTCAGAGCAGCTTGATGAGGTGCACCGAATTTTTCCTTTTTTAAAAAATTATATTTTATTGATTATTTTTTACAGAAAGAAGGGGAGAGGGACAGAGAGTTAGAAACATCGATGATAGAGAAACATCGATCAGCTGCCTCCTGCACACTCCCCACTGGGGATGTGCCCGCAACTAAGGTACATGCCCTTGACCGGACTCGAACCTGGGACCCTTCAGTCTGCAGGCCGATGCTCTATCCACTGAGCCAAACCGGTTAGGGCAAGTTTTTCCTTTTTTATAACTTAGGAAACCAGGGGCCCAGCGGTTTAGCAGCAAGCTCAAAATTACATGGACTATTGAGTGAACAGAGCTGGGACCCTCAGGTCTGACGCCCAACTCCTTACAAGCCCACACTGCCTGCCACAGAGCTCTAGAGCCCAACTCCCGACCACGAACACAGAGGTCTTATTGGAGGGAAGGACCAGTGGCCTGAGACACCTGGGCCAGACTCGGGGACAGCCACTCCAGACCTGGCTCTCACTTGCTGTGTGACTTCGGGTGAATTGCTAGCCTTCTCTGACCCTGAACTTTCTGCTCTATACAAATCCCCAAGGCTGGGGATTCCAGGCTAATGGCACTGGGAGTCTACCTTACCTTTGGGGCCGGATCCCCGGCAGGGCTGGGGGTTGGAGCAGCAGCAGGGGGGTGGTGGGCGATCCCCAAGGGTACTGCAGCCCAGGGCTGAGGTGAGCAGATCCAAGGGGCCAGGGTGCAGGCGGAAGGCCTGGAGTTCCTGTGCCAAGAGGCTGAAGCGTTCTGTTTGGCTGCGGCACTGCTCCTCGAGCTCTCGAACCCGGACCTGAGCCAAGACCCACCGTGAGCCACCAGGCCCGGCAAAGCTGCCCAGTCCCAACCTGTGCCATCTCCACATAGCCGCACACAGGCCTCAGACCACGTCGCCCAGCCCCTAGGCCTGGCTATCGATCCTGGGCCTGGCTGCCCCATTGCCCTTAGTAGTGTCTAAGCTAAGGGTAAAGTGCTGGAGCTGTGGGACATCACATGACTCTCCTCCAGAGAAGAGCTGGGCCTGCTTCACACTCAGCACACCCTCTCGCCGCAGGCAGTGGCACTTCCTGCTTCTGGCTGCTTTCTAGGCCAAAAGGGATGGCTCCCATCCCATCACTACCACCAATATCAGCTCAGGAGTTTTCTTGGCTCCGCCGCTTGTCACCCTCCCACAGTCAGTGACCCAAATCCCTGCCTTCAGAGAGGTCCCCAGAGAGACCACACACGGGAGCTAGGGACATCTTGTGACAAGAACGAGCCAATTCTCAAGACCTCTTTGTCAGGTATCCTGAGAGTCTCAACCTAAGGGGCCCTCCCCTGGCCAATGTCAAGAGGATCATGGGTTAGGCTGATGATGAATTTGCTCATGGGCTCAGTGGCTAGGCTTTAGAGGAGGGAAGGCCCCATGTCTGCCAGGTGTAGTAGCAGGTCTGGGACAAGGAGATGGCCCACATGTCCTGTGGGAAGCCCAGCCCATCTACAGACTCTCAGGTCTGCTCCGGTCACTCTTTGCTCTGCTGGACATGAGAGTTGGGACCACTTGGGCCTGAGGGAGGAGAGGCAGCTCAGTGGGCCAGGGAGGTGGGAGACTGGGAGGCTGTACCTGCATGGAATCCAGGGTAGACTGTGGCAGGAAAGAAAGCACAGAGGAGAGATTAGATCCTGAGACAATGTGTCATCACCCAGAGAGGGAGAGGGAGAGACAGGGGCCCAAGTGGACACCCTCTGGCCATCTCCCTGGACTGACTGAGCAGTTCCTAAATTGAAGGCTATTTCAAGGTGAAGGCATCCTCTGGGAGGGGGGAGGGGGGATAGGGGCTAATGAGACTCCTGCCTGGCTGTGCCCTAGCCTGAGAAACAGGCCAATGGTGGAGGGGATTCTCCAGGCACTAGAGTATTTAAGGGCCCTTCCTGCAACCCCATATCCTACACAGTCCACTCCAGCTCTCTCTGAACTTCCCCTGCCTCCCCCCAAGCTGGTGTTGCTGGTGGCCACCTCCAGGGACTTACCTCCAGCAGCTGCACGGCCCCTTCATGTTCCCTCTTAGCTTCTGCCTGGGCCTACAGGTGGGAGGAGGCAAAAAGCTGGAGGCGAAGGACGAGGAATGGGGGTGGGATAGAGGGAGACGGAAGGGAGGGTAGGAAAGGCAGATGGAGGGCAGAAAAAAGGGGAAGGAGAGGGAGAGGCAGAAGGAAGAGGGGCTGAGGGTTCCTCCCTTCCAGACTCCTACCGCTAAGCTATACCTTAGGCCAGAAGGCAATCGGGTCAAGGAGAGGTGGGCCTGATGCTGTCTCTCTTTCCGGGGCATCCACCCTCCAGTTTCCCTCCTATCTCTCTGGGAGCTCCTCCTCAGTCTCTTTCTCCTGCTCCCCTTTTGAATGTTGGGGTGCTACTGAGCCCACTTTATACTCTTTACTCTCTCCCAAGAGGCCCTTCTAGTCAAATGACTAGACATACTGATGACCCCAAAACTACCTTCAAGACCAACTTCCCCATGACTCCAGACTCATTGATCCAACTGTCTATGAGCATCTCCACTTGAATGTTTAACACACAACCCAAACTTGGCCAAGAAAGAGCTCAGAACTCAGGACTCCCTGCCTTTCAGGTCCTGGGGAGTGAAAGCCCCACCCTTTATCAGGGTTTACTCAGCAAACGGGTAACAGAGTGGAGATTGTCGTTGTACGACTGGAATCCGTGGAATCTTGTTGATTCTATCTCAAAATACACTTCAAATGCATCCACTTGTTTCCACCTTCACTGCCTGTTCCCTAGTCTAGATGGCCACCATCTCCCACCTGGACCCCTACAACAGCCCCAACACCTGATGGCCCTGCTCCATGCCCACTCCCCCAGCCCATCTTCCACAGCGCTGCCAATGTCACCTTCTAAAATGATGAAGTCAGATCATGCTGCTCCCTATTGGGGACCTTTCAATAGCTTCTAACCACTCAGAGAGCAAAATATCCAAACTCCTTCAACAGCCTTGAATGCTCAAGGTGATCTGGCTCCTGCCTGCCCCTGCTGTTCTGTCCCTCCAACTACGTTCCAGCCACTCTGGTCTGGATCCCAACCTCTTTCCCACAACAGGGCCTTGGCACTTCTAGTCCCCTACCTGGAGTGCTCTTCAGCTGGCTCCTTCGTGACCTGGAGGTATTAAAACCTCCCCTGCTGACCTAAAGTGGTCCCTCAGTCACTCGGTCACATAACCCTATCCACCTCCCCCACTGGGATCATCTCAATCACAGATCGGCTTATTTGCTGATTGGTCAGGGACATGGTCTTTGCCCACTGTCCCCCAGCACCTGGCACATAGTGGGTGCTCAGGAAATGCTTGTTGGATGAGAGGATGACTAGACTGAGGTCCAGCAGCCTACCACTCTTCCAGCACTCCTGCCCCCTAGACACCCTGTCCCCACCTGCTGCAGCCTCCGGACCTCCTCCTGCTTCTCCTGAAGGCTGAGCTGAGCCTGCTCATGCTCCACCTCCAGCTGCTGCCGCCGCTGGGCCACCTCCCGCATGTGCTGGAATACAAGACCCTGTGTCAAGGCCAGAGACCCACCACCATTTCTGTAAAGATCTAAGATGCGGGGGGCTCAGATAACACGTGTTCCAGACACCCTCGAAGGCTACAAAAGGAAAGGGGCTCGCGGCTCCAAGACTGGGCCTCAGACCCCAGTGCCCCACAAAGGGCATATTCTACTGTCCCACTGTTCTCTCTGTGCCAGGTACCAATACTCTCCCCTCCTCCCCCACCAACACAGCCCTCTCACCTTCAGCACCTGCTCCAGGCTCTCCAGCTTGCTCTGCAGGCCCTGGCTCTTGCGAAGGGCCAAGTCCCTCTCCTGTGTCACCCCCAGGAGCTGGTCCCTCAGCTCTGCATTCTCCCACTCCACCTGGAGAGGGGGGAGTGGCAGGGAGTTGGGTGTGTGGGCCCTGTCCCACCAGCTCCTTCACCGGGGAGAACAGTACCCTTCCTACTCCAGCCCAGTTCAAGGTGTGGAGGAGACAGCCCCTGGCCAGGGTCCAGGGCCCTCGCAGGATCCCAAGCCACACAGCAGCACCCGTGTGGAGTGGCTACCTGGTCCTTCTCCGTGGCTCTCCCACTGAGCCGGGAGTTCTCATCCACGAGGCGGGCATTCTCATTCTGGGCTTCTCTCAGCTGCAATTCCTGAGAGACCAGAGGAGCTCTGGGGAGGGAGCCTGGCACCCACATTCCTCCCCTCTCCACACAGAGGACCTTGACCTCCCAGTCCGGGCCTTCCTCCCCCACCTGGAGCCTGCATCAGCCAGGAGCGGAGAGGGAGCCGCCACCTGGCTGGCCTGGGGGACGGGGGAGCTGGCCTCTGGGAGGCCCTCCAGAGCTCACCAGCTCCTCACATCGCCTCTGCTTTTTTCGGGCTTCCTGCTCCAGGCTCTGGCATTTCTTCCGCTTCTTGCTAAGCTCTGACTCCTGAGGGGTCAGAACCAAGGGCTCCTCATGTGGGAAGGCAGAGCTGCCCACAACAGGACTCCTCCAGCCCTTGCCCTGGGACTTACCAGCTGCTGCACCCTCTGCTGTTTCTCTGGCTCCCCTAGGACCACGGGTGGGTTTTCCACATCCTCCTGGGGAGTAGCCTGGAAATGCCCAGGGGCACGGGACTGGCACCTGAGAACAGGGCCCCAAGGCAGCCCGCTCCCAGCCCAGCCTGTCCCTGGGAGGTTCCCACCTCATCTCACAGTCAACCAAGAGATCCCTGTCCAGGAAGTGGCGGGGGAGGGGGGGGTGCTCTCTCCCACCCCATCCCATCATCTCCACCTGACGTGGAACTGCAGAGGCTGCACCTCTGAGTTCTCCAGACATTGTGCTTTGAGATCCTGAGACCCATGTGTGCCCTGGGAGATGGGTCCCTTATCCAGGCCAAAGCTTTCCCTTTTTAGCTCCTTCCAGCAGCAGCCCTGCTCTGCACTCAATAACTGCCCTGGTGTCCTTCCATGACTGGCAGAGAACTAGGCGGCCACCTGGGTCCCCGGGGATGTGGTATTCCCAGAGTTAGGGGTTCTGGACAACCCAAATCTGGGCTTGGCCTCCAGCAGTGCAAAACCTGGCCAGGCCTTCCTAAGGCTTCCCCCCAAGCCCACCCCGTGGCACCCCCCATTTATCTGTGCAAACTCTAGAGAAGGACAGGTCTTGATGGATGCATCTCCCTCCCTGGGCCAGGCAGAGGGGCAAAATCTAGCAAGAAGCACCCCACACCCCGAGGCTTGGGTCGCTATGGAGTCGCTTCTCCCACCCCTCTTCCCAGAAGGAGGTGCACCTAAGTGCTACCCAAGGAGAGAGGATGGAGAGGAGCCAGACTTCCAAGTTCTGGGGGCCCGGGGTGGGGGCCCTCGCCTTCGCAGCAGGGGCTAAGCCCCGCGCCCAGTGAGGGACGCCCATACCTGGAGCCGGGGCGGACGCTGCCCCGTGTACCGGGGGCGGGCCTGGCGGACCAGGCAGGCGCTGAAGGGGGCGTCCCCGCGCAACAGCGGCGGCGGGAGGCGGCGGCGCAGACTCAGCCCCGGGCGGCTGCCAGGGCAACCAGGGATTTGCGGCCAGGCCGTACCACTGGCGGCGCGGCGGGGGCGGCGGGGCGGGGCGCGGGCCTGCGGAGGGCGGACCACGAACTCCCGGGGGTGGGCACAGGTACGAGTGCTGGGAGGCTGGACCCGGACCCTACCGCTGGGTGTCGGGAAAGGTCCCCCAGCCCTTAGGGTGCGCACGCCGCCACCGGATCCTCGGGGCTCGGAGCGCGTTTTAGGAGGAAATCCCGGGGCCCCCCACCCTCCATCTACACACACCTGCCCGGGTGCCGGCGCTCACCTCTCCCGGGGCCCTGGGGGTGGGCGCTCCTGCTTTGACCCGGACAGTGGGGCCCGGGGGCCGGAGCGGCGGGGACGGCTCCTGCTGGTTGCGCAGGGCGATCTGCCTCTGCAGCCGCAGCACCTCCCGCTGGGACTCGCGAAGGAGTCGGTCGAAGTCCCTCAAGTGGAGCCACTGGGGGCCCTCCTGGGTTGGGGCACAGGGAGGGGAGTTTGGCCTAAACCCCTGCCCACCTCCTCCCCCAACTTGTCCCCTTGCTAGAGGGGCTCTGCTGCGCGGGAACGTGCACATCCTCCCATGCATACGAGTACATGCCTTGGTCATAGGTGCATGCGAATAGCATTTGCCAGCCCGCGTGCAGACATACGGTGACTCATTTACTGGGCACTCGCCGTGTGCCCGGCACTGTGCTAAATGCCTTGTGAACATCACTTGACGCAAGTGTTAGACATGTGTGGATTCATACAGCCAAACCCACTGGCACACAGTCTGAAGCCTGGAGCACAGAAATATCCAGGTCTGGGACTCATGGCTCCGCCCCCTTCGGTTCAGGCTTCTCCCCGCTCCCACCTGGGCCGTTGCCAGGGGAACCTACTCCCCAGCAGCCTCCACCTTCCCGCTTCATTTGCATCTCATTAACATCTCGGTCCACATCCCAACAAGCCAGGCAGGTGGCTCTGGTTAGGACTGAGCTGGATGGGGTGACCAGGGCCTCCTCGCACCTTGCCCGCCAGGGTGAGCCTGGCCTGCAGCTCCCTGCACTCCCGCTGCAAAGCAGCAATCTGCTTGTCCTTGGCCAGCAGGGCGCTGGCTGTCTCACTGAGGTCCCGGGTTCGCTGGCGGGCCAGGGCCTTTCGGCACAGCTCCAAACTGGGCCCTGGACGGGGCACAGGGGCACTCACCTGGCCAGAGGAGGGGTAAGGCCAATGGTCATCTGAGGGCTGGGGCACTTCTCCCACCTCTCAGCTCCTCCCAAAGGAGGGGTTAGGTTGAAAACCTACAAGTGTGGCCTCTTGCTTTTACCCTGTGTCTGGGGCGTCAGGGGACCCACAGCCTCATTTGACCCCCGCAATCCTCAAGCAGGACTGACAGAGTTAACCTCACATCCTAGTTTCAGCTCAAAGGAGGCTGCTAATTTAGGGCTGCCACTGTGATGGGTCTTCATCCCTGCCCCCCACAGGCTCTGCACCCAGAGATGAGCTCAGCAGGAGACTGTAGCCAGCACACGCACGTGGTAATCCAGAATCCTGCTCCCTGCCTGCTCAGGAACTCCCCGCCCAGCCCTTCCCTCCCTCCTGTAGCTCCAGAAAGCCTCAGCCTCCTAGCCTGGCCAGCACTTGCCCTTCCTACACTTTGGCCCCCCGAGTTCCTGCTTTCCTGGGTGCTAAGAGTCCACGACTCCTAAACCCCACCCCTCAGGCCCAGCCCTGACTTCCCTCTTCCCAGGTCACACAGCCTTCATCTTGCAGCCTCCGGCCTCCCATCCTCACCACCTTCAGGTTAGTCTCCTGCAGCTTCCGGGCCCTCTCCTCCAGGCGCTTGGCAATGACCGCCAGCTCGGCGTTCTTTCGCTTCAGCCTCCGCACCTTCTCCTCCGTCTCTGGAAAGCTGCTCTTCCTCTGACAAGGGGTCAGCCAGGATAGGGCATGTGGGAAGCACCCCCGCTGACCCAATCCTGACTGCCCGGGCTTTGGGCTAGAGCCCTGGGCTCACAGTGGAGTCCTCAGCAACTCTAGATAAGGGCTCATGTCACCTCCCTGTGGCCCCCACGGCGGGAGGTACATATGGGGTGAGGAGGACACCGAGGCAGAGGGGCAGAGTGTCTGAGTCTGCCTCCCCCCAGCTCCAGCCAGGACCCAGGACTCACCAGCCTCTGGTTTTCCTCCTTGAGGAGGGCACAGTGCTGCCGCAGCTCCCTCAGGGCCCTCAGCAGCTCCAGACTGGGCCTGTCCCCGAAGCCCACGCTCAGCTTGCCCTGGCATGGGAAAGGCAGGGCGCAGGGCCTCAGGAACCCACCCGACCTGGTCAGCGAGCGCTCTCCCACCATGGCCCCCCGAGACAGGCAGACAGGAAGGCTCTCCCCCACATCCCAGGCTTTCAGAGTCAGCTCAGGAGGTCCAGGAGAAGGGGCTATCTAGTCCTCCCTGCCCGCGCGGGCACCCCCGATCCTGGGACCCTCTCTGGTAGTCCCCAATTCTTCCCATCCCTGCTCACCTCCTCCAGGGAAATGCCAGCCCAAGTTCCCAGGCCCACCCCTCCAGGCTCCATGGTCCCTGGGTCCCCTCCCCCAAAGTCCACTCCCTCCATCTCACACCCACCCCAAACCTTGTCCTCCCTGGCTCAGCTCAACACTGAGTCCCCTCCCCTAAATCTGCTTTCTCTGCACTCTGATTCCACCATATAGCTCCACGTACCCCAGTATCCTCCAGCCCCCAAGAACAGAGACTCAGGGAGGAGGAGACACAGACAGACTGTTGGAGAGAGAGTAACAGAGAGAGAGAGGGGGTAGGGGCACGGCCAAATGTAGACAGATAGAGAGTCAGAAGGACAGACAGATGGCAAGAAATGGAGCCACTGAGACTCCTGCCCAAAGAAGGGAGGACAGATAGTCACCAAATTGGAAACCACAGATGGAGACAGACCAGGAGAGGAGAGGTGGGCAGCGGGGTTGCATATCATGCCCGTGAGGAGAGGCCCCCACCTCTCAGACCAAGCCCTCCACCGCTCCCTTACCTCATGGAAAGCCTCCACCTCCTCGTCCTCCAGCCTTGGGCAGCTGGGTCCGGAGCTCGCTGCTTGCTGCCCCAAGCTGGGCAGCCCAGTTTCTGTTCCTTCAGGGTCAATGTCCCCCACAGGCCCAGGGCTCCAGGCTCCCTCGGGCTCAGAGCTCTCCAAAGGCCTCAGTTCTCCAACCTGCAGAGCTGCCGGAGTATCGGCAGTGCTTGGGGCTGCACCTCCAGGTTCGCCCTCCTGTCCTGGAATCCAGCTCTGCCAGGCAGGCTGTGCCCATGGCTCCATAGCTCCGGGGTCCCCCAGCCGTAGGAGGGTTGTCAGTTGCTCCATGGTACTGCCAAGGGGCCCCAGGACTCGGGCTGGGGGACATCACCCAGCCAAGTGGAAGGGCTGGCAAGGGTCATGCCAGACCAAACCCTTTCCTCTCTGAGCTCTTGGCTTTACCGGGGCTCCATCCGAGGTTGGCCGAGTTCTTCCTCGCCCACAAAGGAGGCTGCGGGAGTCGGGGTGGCCGGAGCTGGAGCTGGGGGTATGTGAGCTATGTCTGTCTGTGGCTGTGTATGTGCCAGGGTGTCCCCGTGAGGGCCGGGAGGGTGTGCAGAAGCCGCCGACAGCAGAGCCTGGGTGAGGGTGTGCGTGTCTCCAGGTCTGTCTGTTCAGGTCAGCGCTGTCTTGTGTGCGCGTTTGGAGGGTGGTATCCCCACTTGTGTGTGTTGGAGGGTAGCGGTTCTGCGTGTCACTGTCTGCGCCTGTTTCGGAGTTACCAGCTGTTTCTGTGTGTGTGTGGGTGTCTGTATTGCAGGGCTGTGGCAGTATGTGATGCTGTCACTGCTTGTACCCGAGCATCTCAGTGTTGTGCAGCTGTGTGCATCGGTGTCATTGTGTGTCCGTCAGCGTCTGTGAGTCTGGCCATCCATCACGACCCCTCAGCCGGCTTAGGGTCCGCAGGCTGCCGGGGGTGATCCCCAAAGGTCCGCTGTGGTCCTTTATCTCCCGCTCCTCTCTCCGCTGTTGCTTGCTAGCTGGATAGCTTGCTGGGCAGCCCGGCTGATCCTAAGGAGGCCTGGGTCGGTGGGCTGCTCGCCTCATAGTCTCTATCCCTGCTGGCCTCAGCTCTGGGGACTGCAGGGGGTCCCCTACAGCCCCGACCCCCGAGATGATGGGCGCGGAGAAGGCTGAGCCTTAGAATCTAGGGGGTGAGCAGGGAAGAGCCAGCCGTCCCCTCCCCTCCCCCTCCCCTCCCGCCCACCAATAGGAAGTCGGCTGCCGGTTTCCATGGTGATGGCGCTGGACTGGTGGGCTGGACCGGCAGATAGGGTCGGGACAGAGGGAAGAGCAGGTTCCTCACGGGATCCCAGCATAATGCCCCCCACATGTGACCTCCCACACACCCCCATACCTCCCGGGGTACACAGGCAAGGGGGCTGCAGCGGGTCCTCCCCACATCGGCCCCAGCCCAAGACGACAGAGACAGAGACAGGAGGTGGTATGACGGATAGACAGAGCTCTAGCCACGAAGAAGGGCAGGAAGAGGAAAAAATGGGATTTGAGATGAAACAAAGAGAAACAGAAATTAAGCGAATGAAAACAGGAAGATAGAAGCAAAGAGACGGAGACAGAAATAGGCTGAGAGAATTGCTTCAGCTTCCTCCTGGCAGGGAGTATTTTGGGGGCGACTCGGCCATCTCCGGCCAGTAGAGACCACATGGTCTTTCGGGCTGCTATGCTCCGCACTGTCAGGAAGTTCGTCTTCTGTCTAGCCGGAGGCTTTTTTGCTATGGGAAAATGGCTTTTTTGGACAAGGACATGGGAACTCGCCCACTTACAAGTCGTCCAGTACATGGGGGCAGGAGCCTAGATGAAGTCCTCAGAGACAAAG